CCCCCCACTTCCACAATGTTTCCGGGCATTGTACTATATTCTGAATTACAGACATGCATTTATACCAAATTACATCCCAATCTTAATCTGTCATGAATATAAATTTGTAAATCATCGTTTTTTAAAGGCACATTAGACTATTTTGAGGCAAAACGTGCCAATGCAAACACATTCGCAGACATGGGAAAGACCTATGGAGGCCGTCACAAATGCCCACATGTACATGGGACTGTGTGCGCGCAGACAATAGCCTCGAACTCCCCCCCCAGCCCTGCAGGTAATTGCTGTCCATGGGGGGACAGGTGCCTCCACAATAGACTGGCAGTGTCCAGGCCGGCTCCATTCACTGCCACTGTAATTACCTAATTGAAAAGAAGCCCCCGAGGGATGAGGGGAGAGAGAGAAAATGCATGTGTGAGAGAGAGGGAAGGTACGCGAAGAAGACTAAAATATGAAGAAAAGCTGCTTTTCGGAGGACAATGAAGCTCCGATGCTCACATTTGCTCGCACATGGCTACATGTGCCTCAATAACGTTTGTTTGCACACACGAACAATGAGGCGTACGACCACACACCAAGAGGCTCGCCGTCTTTTCTTTTCTGAATCGGATCAGCAGGAGTAAATACTGCCGGGTGCAGTTGAGGGATGGGTGGGGGGGGGTCTGTAATGGGAAATCTATTGTCGTACGATGAGCGTGCAGCAGGGAGAAGAGGAGGAGGGTCAGAGTGGGCTGAAATATAAAAGCAACAGGGTCACTCTCATTTCTGATGTCGGCCACTGGATCTCTGCTTTGGATTGAAGTTTCTCCCGAGCAGCCGTGGAAACAGCTGGGTGGGAGCATGTGGTTCTCCTTTTTGTGCCCAAATATACTGTATTTATACATCTTTTGTCACCCTCTTGGACGTAAATGTGTTGAGGAACATCCGATGTTTGATCTGCAATAAAAACTTACAGAGAACAGCGACTCAGCTGGATTCAAATTTTGATAAATCCCATCTGAAAGTTACTTGATTGTTAAAGAAAACTCATGAGTATCTTTTGTGCAAGTACACAGAACGAGGGGAGAGGTGCATTGGTTTTAGTAATCGGATAGGCTCCTCTGGAATCACACTTTGGTACAAAAACACAAATCATGATCGAGATTCTGTCGAATCTACAGCAATAAAAGTTCTGAATACTTCTCACAAACATCAACATGTAGATTTAATCCTAATAGTTTTAAAATGGTGACTGTTTGGAAAAATATTTTCATCACTACAAAGAATAAGTCAATTGGATCTTGAGCTCACTGGTGTTCTTCTTCAGCTGTGATCTATGAAGGAAAAGCCATCGGGCTGAATTTTTCTTCTTCTGCTGCTATATCACATAAGCTACCAGGACAAATTGGCAGCAAAGCTGACAAAAGGCTGTGAAAGCTCCTTATCTGGAGTTTCTTTTCTGGCCGCCATCAGGGGGGGGATTACTCTTAACTGAAGCAGTCCGTTTCACAAGTAATGACGGAGCTGGTTGATATTAGCCCGCTCCGGATCACAGCTGGAATATTTGCACAGCGGCATCTTTCAACGCTCAAAAACGAATGGATTCAAATCTCACAGAAACACGAGAGCAGCTCGTACACACAGCCGACGCGGCTCAGGGAGACGGAAGCTAGCATTTTCAACATCAAAACATGAAAGTGACAGGACGTGTTTCATTTAGCTGCACCAAAAGTTCTTTAAAAAGCTTCCAGCTGATCCAAAAACCTTCAGTTCGGGTATTTCTTTAGTTTTACTTTCCCTTTATTTGGGTCCCTATTATAAACCAGGATTCAGAACTTTGCTCTTCACATACGAAGATGTTAATAAAGTTTTTTCTTTCTACAGTCACCTCATGCATGTTGAAAATTGAAAACAAGATTTGTTGCGTTTGGTTTTCTTAGCTTAGTTTTTTTCAAGAAGATTTGTATTTTCACTTGTATGGAATTTAATGAGTTGGAATTGAAAGATTTACTATTTTTATTTCAATGCCTGAAATATTTAGCTAGCATTTCTTTTAAATCACTTTGAATATTCTGTACTTTTTGTTTCGTGCAGCATCTGAACGCCCTTGCGTTTTTGCAGGGATAACAAAGTTGGAATCGTCCTTGGATTTGCTCGCTGCGCTGCACAGCTTTGTTTTTTACGCCGCTGTGCCCGTGATGCTGTGCAGAGGGAGGAAGCTTCTATTCCCAAGGCCAAGTCGGCGCAGACTCAAGCGGCTGTGCTCTAAAACTAAAGCTAAATCTAAATCTTCAAAACCACCACGCCTCTATTCCTTTTGGTTAAAAAAAAAAAACCTCTCATTGATGAGCACGTGGGATGTATTTGTATTTACAGCGGGATTGGGAAGTTCTCCTGCCTCCCGGGTGCTGCAAAAAAACAGATTCCGGAAACCAGGAACTAGGTCAAACTGCGGTGGATTCTCGGAGAACCGACGTGAGGATTGAAGGGCGAAATGAAAAGATGAAACTGAGCTACAGTAAAAGGGCGGGAACGGGGGGGGTTGGTGGTAGATGCAGCAATGTCGTTTGTTTTCGCAGAGCTGAGCGGATATCGGCTGGCTTAGCCGCGCGCAAACACTCCCGAGTAAATAAGCTGAGAGGTAAATAAACCAATCTGCTAAAATACCCTGTCAGTCAAGCCCTCTGTCAGTCTCTCCTTACTGAATCGCTTTCACCGAAACGGCAGAATTCTCTCATTCTGAGAGAGGATGTTACACTTCCCGGTGGATATCAAACGTACCCTCCAGTCACACGCATGCCAAATAAGAAGCGCAAAACACGACGATCCGTTTGTAGGGGGGGAAAATCAGGCCTCTCATCTCCCACTGCGGTGACATGTCGGCTGTATCACAGCATGTAAATGACCCCCCCGCTGGGCTGTCTGGGACTACTGGTTGACATGCCTGCTCAAAACTGCGCCTTCTGTGTGGGTATAACTTCTAACACGTGTGTGTTTTGTCTAGTCTACCGCTCCCGTGTAAGACTTCATCAGTCGGAATAATAAAAATACCTTCTTTTTTTTGTCTTTCTTTGAGGAAAATTTGCAACAAAAAACAAAAAAAAGTTCAGTGTCGATGTTGAGTTAGTCTCCACTTTCCTATTGGACAGCCAGACGAGGCTTTAAAATGCAGTTATTGCTTTATAACGGTTAATTAATAATTCATTTTTTTTTATAGTTCAGCAGTAGAGCATTAAAAGTAAAGCACGCTGGGCTCAAACGTAAAGTATGAGCTGTTGTGGAGCTGTATAAGAGCTCCATCAATACACTTCTGAGAAATTAGCACGCCCTGATGAAACCACAGAGTCCTGTCCAGGTCTAAAGAGAGCTGGGGCATCTTTACGTTTGGTTTTACGGCTCCAGAAAGGACCTTCTGTTTAAATAATGAGCACAGCTTTCAGACGTTTGATACTTTCCTTCTTTGTGATGGTTTTAAAAAATGTCTCGAGGCGTTTTTTGGTTTGTTTTTTCTCTGATAACAGGCCCAGAATTTTTCTTCACTTTCAGCTCCCAGTTTCTAATTCACCTCCAGTTTTAACATGGATGATTATTTTGTTTCTAATCCCTCACATGGATATTGAGTATTAACAGCAACATTTCCACATTAATCTTCATCAGCCCATCTCCATTTATCCTCAGCAGCTTCTGTCTGAAAGGGGCTCTCCACAGCTCGGTGGGTGTTTTGCAGCATGAATGAGGCTCTCTCTGCATTAGTGCACACATTACATGTTTGTTTTCTCTAAAAAAAAATCTCTCTGCCTCTGTTTTCTTTTGATGATACCATTTTCGAGGTTCAACTCAGGTTTGCGGGCGACCTCCAAAAGATCGAGCTTTGAAGCTCAAAGTGCCCTAATTGCCGTATTGGCTATGACAGCCTTTTTCTTTTCTTTCATCATGAACACACTCCATCAGCCTTTTTCTCTGCT